GAAGCTCAGGTATTTGCCCTACGTCACAAAGCCAGCTCGGGCCCCAGGCGTGAGCCGAGGCCCCTGGGTGCTGTGGCTTCCCGAGCAGCCTGAGGTTTGGATCCAAACGCTTCGAATTCCTTTCCTTTTTCAAAGCGGCGGTAACCGGACAGTGACCCGAAGGAGTGCATTCTCCCGGGAAGGAACGTTCTGCTTGGAACTGCTGACGGAAAGCAAAGCAGGAAGTGGAGTGTCCCCCGCGGAAAGGGGCCATCTGGGAATGTTCTAGACTCAGGCCTGCCCTGCGTGGCCGGCCCGTGGGCACTTTGCCCTGGGCTCAGAAGGGGACTCAAGCCTGGAGCTGGGGGAGGGAGGCCATGTGGGCGGAAGCCTGGGAAGCCAGAAAATGTGTGTGTGTGTGTGTGTGTTGGGGCAGGGGCGGGGGGTTGTCATAGAGCCCTGCTGCTCCTGGCTGGACATGTGGGCACTGCGTGTGGGGGTGGGGTGGGGGGAGGGGGGCTGTTCTCACAGGAAGCTGAGCTCAGCCTCCCTGGGGGGTCCTCACTATGGGCTGGGAGCTCTACCAAGGACCCAGGCCAACCGCTGGCAGTAAGAATGATTGGTGCCGCCGAGGCAGACGCCCACCTCCAGCTGTGATGCCAGGAGCCCTGGTGGCGGCGTGTGTTGAGTACTGGGCTGCTAAGCACAAGGCTGGCGGTTCAAACCCACCAGCCGCTCCAAGGGTGAGCGAGGCGAGGCTGTCTACTCCTGTGAAGATACAGTCTCAGAAACTCTAGGGAGACGGTCTACTGACCTCTGTAGGGTCAGCAGGAATGAAAAAGAACTTTACAGCTGTGTGTGTGTGTGTGTGTGTGTTTGCTATGACGCTAAAGCTCTGCCGCCATTGGATGCACATACTAGCAGTGTGTCCCATGGGGTGCAGGTTTCAGAGAAGAATCCAGACTAAAACAGGCGAGGCAGTGGGGCCTGGCCATCTGCTGCCAAAGACTGCTTCTCTGTGGGACCCTCTAGGAGCAGGTAGAACTGTCCGAGGGCGGAATCTTCTGGGAGCAGATCACGAAGCCTTTTCTTCCACAGAGGCAGGCGCCGGTGGATTTGAACCGCCAACCTCTCTGTGGTGGCTGAATGCATCTTCAAGGTGTCCCCAGGGTTCCTGCTTTGGAAAGTTGGCCCTCGGCACCCCTGCGGACCCCAGCGGAAGACTCCCTGCTGTAACACCAGAGAAGGGGCCTGGGGGCGGGGGCTGGGGGGCAGGAGGTAGAGCACCCCACAGGCCTCAGCCTGGGCTGGCCACTGCTCTCTGGAAGCCAAATTTCACAGCCTGGAAAGGTCCCTTCAAGGCAGCCAGTCCGGCCTGAGGATTCCACCTTAGGGGCGGGGCTTCAGTGACTTCTGGCCTCTGTTTGCAGCAACTTGGCCTGCGGAGCCCTTGGGTGGGCTTCTCACCTCCTACTGTCACCAGAAAGAGGCCTGGAACATGTCTCATACGAGTCAGTATCGACTGCATGACAATGAGTTTGGTCACCAACGTCCGTTCAGGTAGGACGAAGCAGGGACAGGGGTTTGTCCCCCTCCGTGCCTGAAGGCCTCCTAAGGGAGGTTGGAGGAGAACCAGATGCGCCTCAGCCAGTCATAAAGGCGACTGGGCACGCACCAATCCAACCCGAGCCAGGTGGGTGGTACACCTGGGCGGCCCAAACTAGGTCCAGGGGCGCTTAATGCAACCAATGGGGTCAACCAATACCTTCAACCATACCTCCCGGCCAGAG